GAGAGAGAGAGAGAGAGAGAGAGAGAGAGAGAGAGAGAGAGAGAGAGAGAGAGAGAGAGAGAGACTTAGGAAAAAGAAGAACTTCTGAATCTTAGCTTAGCCTATAATATTATGTAGTATTCTGATTGTACTGCAATCTCCTCTCCTCTGCAATGTCTGCATGTGGCCTCGGCAGGAGAGTTCGGGAGACGGCAAGTCGAGGACGAGAATGAGAAAATGGGGAAAGGTCAAAAACTTCCAGTTGATTTGGTCGCTACGGGAGCAAAAAGCCTTTCAATGGTTTAAGGACTCTATGGGCGAGCTTCTCCGCCGAGATCGAATGGTAATATACATGGTGTTTTACATTATATTCTCTCTCTCTCTCTCTCTCTCTCTCTGTATATATATATATATATATTATATATATATATATATTATATATATATATATATTATATATATATATATATTATATATATATATATATATTGATCTATCTATCTACGTATTTATCTATCTATTTATCTCTAATATCTCTATCTCTCTCTCTATCTATCTATTTATCTATCGTTTTTTTTCTTACTTTTGTTTTAAGAATGCCTTTTTTTCACTTTCATGATTTGTGCACAAAGGTTAGCATCACAACAAACCCTAAACCCTAAACCCTAAAAACCAAAAGCATTTGTTGACTGTCATGTGTGTGGCAAACTTAGTAACTGTTTATGTGCGTGCGTGGAGTCCCTTCTGACCCGACTTGTCTAAAAGCAAATCAGATAATCAGACATCAGAAACGTCTTCACTCTTATTCCCCATACTCCATCCTTTCGTTCTCTCCTTTTGTTCCTCTTTCATTTCTTCTTCTTCTTCTTCTTCTTCTTCTTCTTCTTCTTCTTCTTCTTCTTCTTCTTCTTCTTCTTCTTCTTCTTCTTTCTCCTCCTCTCCATTTTCTTCTTCATTTTCTTCTTCTTCTTCTTCTTCTTCTTCTTCTTCTTCTTCTTCTTCTTCTTCTTCTTCCTCCTCCTCCTCCTCCTCCTCCTCCTCCTCCTCCTTTTCTTCTTTGTCGTTGTTCTCGAGTTTATTATTCTATTGTCATCGTGTCATTGACATCATTTCCACTGTCATTGGTGTCACGCGATCATCACCGGTCGTGAAGGGGCTTTAAGGCGATCACTGGGAAGCATCAACCCTTAGTCAAGGCCCAACCCGTTCTCTCATCTTAACGTTATTTTCCATTGGCCGAGGATTTGTGACCTTATCACGATCCACAACTGACTGACCGTGTGTGCTAATTTAACATTCAGGTTCCGAGAGTTAATGTTATGTTTACTCGACAAAGATTTGCAATCTCATGTTAAACTTAAAAGTTAAACAGTTAAAGTTATTTTTCATTTGGCCTATTGACGCGGGGCGGTGGGGGTGAATGTTAAAAATTAGGAGTGTAAGTACGGGCTCTTGTTCCGATAGGCCTATTTGCAATGATCTCATGTTGCGAGTGTAAGTACGTTTGTGTAGACCGGATCATGAAGCGATTGCGGGGGTGGTAGGTGAAACCGTGAATGATGCTACGTAAGTACTTTTTCAATGGACCTTGCTTTCGGGCTTCACCCCAACCCGATCGGTCAATTTGGTGATAGCAGAAATTCACGAAAATGTATTACGTTATTTGCCTGTAGGTGCGTTTAGTGCAAGGGTAAAATTTCAATCATTCCTTTGGATCTCAACCCCTTGCACTTACCGAGCGTAAAAAGGAATTACCGAGCGTAAAAAGGAATCGAAATCGTAACCTTTGCACTTAAACCACAAGTACCTTTCCCAGCCATTTTGCCGAGATGCGGCGGTTAACGCGGAGGCCGATTCCGGCTGGCGGGGGCAGCCAGATGCGCCCGCAAAGCTTGGCGCGCAGGGCCCGCGCCCGGTGTATGGGAAAAGGCACTGGTGGTGATTTAAACCACCATTACTTCCTAAAGTTGTGCCCGTTAACAAGCTGCCACAATTTTCGGAAATGTACAAGCCACTTCAGTATACCCCTGATTGGTATTAGTGGGGGCTATGACCAACACGGGTGTGAGTGTGAGCGCGAGTGGGTTGTGTGTGGTGTGTGGGAGAGTGTTGGCCATAGCCTCTGCTGCTACTCGATGAAGGGTGGGGGACGATGAGAAAGGGAGGCACAGCTACTGGCAGGTCTCGGTCTTTGTGTTAGCCAGACCCCCACTGGCGGCCCCAACCCTATACCCTAACCATTAGGGGCAAGGGGCAAAATGAAATCTCCCCTTCACAGAGAGAGGAAAACTATGCTTGCAGGGGTCCCCTCTAGATAGTCTTAGGAGTAGGTAATGGAAGGTAAAAGAAACAGAAGTTGAGAGAAGAGTGTAGAAAGAACAGAAAAAAGAAAAAAAATTCATCCGACTAGAAACGTTTCGACTATTCTTTTATTTTTATTTTTTTTCCACGGCCGCCGAGTATTGGTTGTTTAATGACCAGACAAAGGAATTGAACTCCCAACCTTGCTCTTATTAACTAGAAAGGAGAGTTCTGCAGACAGGCTTTTTCCAAGCCCAGCTTTGCTTCTGAAGTTCACATGCATGTATGTGTGTGCATACGAAGGTATTATACATTATATACCGCAAAATACATTGAAGTTCACAACTTTTGCCACAAAGGTGGGGACTTCTTTCCTCTGTTTTTTTAATTAAAATTTATTTGCTTAAAATTGTTTGAACACGTACAAAGAGTCGACAGCGGATGAAAATGCCTAACTTCTTTCAGTTCCCCCGTCGCAAGGGCATATTACCCTTTTTTCTAAATCTGACGAACCGGCCGGAATCTGCATTTTTTTTTTTTTAAGTCGTCGACGCAGTAAATTTTGAGAAAACGACGGCGCAGTCAGGGTTTGAGTTTGTAATTGCACTTGAGGCAAAAGGGCCGGTAATGCTGAATGTATATGACCCACGTTTCAGGTCCGGTGGGGTCGCGTGGGGTGTGCTGAATGTATATGACCCGCGTTTCAGGTCCGGTGGGTGGCGTGGGGGTGTGCTGTATTCGCGGGTTTCGTGTCTGCGCCGAAGTTGCCCCTTAAATTTTATATAATGTCATGGTCGCACGACATTTTTTTTTCTTTTTTTTTTCAAGTCGTGGAAGCAGAAGTCTCCGCTTTTTTTCTGTTTGGCGCGTTATTTTCTGTACGTCATGTGTATGTTTTTTAATCCTCAGTTCTGCACAGGCTGCTGTTCAAATTCTGACCTAAACAACAACAACAAAAAAAAAAAAAAAAAAAAAAAAAAAAAAAAAAAAAAACCTGACCTTGGGGAAAAAAAGGGAAAAACCTTACCTTTTTAAGAATTTTTTGGACAGGTTTTGTTAACAAAAAAAGGGGAACAAAGTACAGAGAAATTGAGAATCCAAATTAAGACCTTTTCTTTCCCCTCAGACAAAAACTGTCAAGACGTCACACGCAAAGAAAAAGAGCCTTTCTCGTGATCGCTGCAAGTCAAGCAAAAAAACACCCTTCGGCTGCCGAAAGACTCCATGGATTAATTAGGATTTTTTTTTATTGTTATTTTTTTATTATTTTTTTCCAAACTGACTGATTGTGTTGAAAACCCTGAATGGGTTCCGGTTGTGTTGGTTCACCGACAGGGAGTGATTGATCTGAGGTGTCATCTCACATCTCCTCCGTCCGTTCAGACTGACCCTGCGGCCGCTCTCGTGCGGACGGCTCAGATGCTGAAGCACGGACTGTCATCGTACGACATCATTTCAGGAATGAACATGAAGGTAAGAAACTTGCAGAACAAGCAAATTCATCAAAACCCCCCACTGCATCTTCTCTCAGTCTTGGAGCCTGGTGCTATCACATATGGTTGATCCCCAGTTATTGTTTTGGGAAAAGAGAATCTAACTCTAACTCTCTCTCTCTCTCTCTCTCTCTCTCTCTCTCTCTCTCTCTCTCTCTCTCTCTCTCTCT